AATCGTGAGGTGATGAATAATGATGAAATCGAATCATATATACAAGGTGCCTGTAGGACGATCGTTGGACCAACGCTGATTGTGATTTTCATGTTCGTATTCTCAACAGTAATTATATAATTTAAATGATTTTTATATAAAACTACAATACGTGAAGATTTAAAACTTTCATTATCATATGGAATTTTTGCACATTTGAAATAAAGAAAAAGGAATGCTATAGTGGGGGATTTTAGCATCTCGTGGAAGATATGAATGAACAGAGAATGTTGCACAGGTGTAAAGAAACAACCGACCAAACCCACTTGTTCTCTAATAATGTCCTTTTTCAATGTTTTTGAAATATCTTTATATATATTACACATTGTAATAAAAAAATATTCCAACCAAAAGAATCATCACTCTAATTCTCTTGAAATACAGTTTTGTAAATATCTTTTGTTATTATTTTTACAATGACATGACAAAAGGAAATTATCTATTTTAGTGATATAAAAACTATATATTTCTTACATTTGATATATTTAATAAAAAAAAACAAATTAAGATCAAAGAATTTTAATGATATTTAGTTTTATGAAGCTATTTTCATTATTTAGGGCTTTATAATATTAGTCACGAATATATTAGGACGTGAAGAAGAATCGTGACCTTTTGTCGAAGAAGAAGAACTATGGCCTATATTATATACTTTCTTCGTTTAAAATATAAGTTGTTTTAAAGGTTTTTTTTTCTAAAATATAAGTTGTTTTCATATTTGAATGCATTTTTTATTTATTTTATTGGATATTGTGCGGCCAATAGTATTTTGTAGTCTCATTTATAATTGATTGAATTATTTTTATCTGATATATTAAATAATTTTTTTTGCAAAAACAATAATTCTTTAATCTCTGCGCTTTTAGCCAATTTTTTTTTGTTATCACAAATGTACTTTTATTGATCAATCACATACAAAGATCTGACAATCAATAAGGGACGAAAGTACCAATATTTGAAAAAATTGATTTTCCTATGCGAGCAGCCTTAGCAAGTAGGTCTGCGTGTACATTATTTTCCTTGGGGCAATGCACTAGAGCAAACTCCGGAAAACATTTATGTACTTCCTTAAATTCATCCAATTCCGGTTTGAAACAAAGTCAATCCTCCGCGCTTGAAACCATGGTGAACAATTGCGTTTTTTCCTCCGTAGACTAGTCAAAACAATTTATATTCTGAAACGGAAAGAGTATATATTTTAAAAAAGAAAATATAACAATGCAGACAGTAAACAATTGTAATATTTACTGTTTACCATCATAATAAAAGTAAACTATCAGATTTATTTCATTTTTACCATCAATATTTACTCGAATTTTAGTTTCAAGAAATTCATAAATAATAACAATAGTTATGTCAAATGATATGTCGTTGTCAACCCGTTTACATAAGATATACTCTATGATATATAGACATATTTCAAAGTTAAAATTAAAATCATTTTAGTTCAGGATTTATATGCGTTATAGATCATATAACCCCTATGAATACTTTATGGTACTTTAAAGGATATTGAATGATTAAATGTTGTTAAGCTTTATCAAACCAACAATAATGTATAGTAAGCCAGAAAAATAATCTTTGTCTGATTGGTTATGGTCATAACTTAGTTTTTATTCTTAAGAACTTTGGTTTGTTGTTGTAGTCG